ATGAATTTTGTATACAAATAATGTACACAATTTCAAAAAAGTATACTTTTTGTACAGAATATGTATACAATTAATATACTATTGGGGCGGACAATTTGGTAAGGGGCAGGTCAAACCTCATACTTGTGATTTCATTTAGAAGAGCGCATTGGATTGTTGGAAAATCAATGTTTATCAACACAATTGTAGCAGATGCGCGGCATGACGACTAGTATCACCCCTTAATTTAACAACAAGAGACAAATTTTTATAAATTTCACAGTCTGTCAGTGAACAATTTGCTGTGAAATGTTAAAGAATGTTAATGTTATAATGAATGTTCCAACAAAGTGTTATCAGTTCGGCATACAACATTCCTCTATCTCCAAGTGCACCATGGTCTGATGATAGTTATATATGTATGCAAAATTTTCTTGCAAAAAACTTGTAATTAATGATTTGTTTAGGATAGGAAACAAAACAAAACTTAATACTTTTCAGGCTTCACTTTTTGCTGTGAAAATAACAAAATATTGTTGGGAAAAATGTGGCCTAATAAATATGATGGTGGCTTATATGTATAGCTCAATCAAAATTCATTTTCATGCAAATGCTGCTTGTTTAGTCATCTCACTGTCATGATGATTTTTAATTTTTTGTGTGTGTCCTGTACAAATTTTGCACTTAGGCAAGCCCCCAAAATATATTGCTTCTCAGAGTTCTTGTCTCTAAAAAAAAGGTGATCACTGGCAGTCCCTTTTTTTATGTTTAAAATGTTCCACCTCTTTACGTGTTACCGAATATGTAATTTTTCAAATAGTGAATACAAATTCTTCTCTGAAACTTTTGTTTATTACAGATAAAAATGACTCCAACTTCAGAACCATTGAAGAAGCCAGTGTGGTATGAAAGTAGAATAGGTTTATTTCTCATCAGTGTTTTATTGGTACTGCTGTTGATTCTTATCAGTCTCTATATTTTCTTTTCATCAAATCTATTTCGAGTGATGCTGGAACTGAAATATGGCACTATAGAAGGAATTCGGGAAGATGATGGATATGTATTCAAAGGTGAGTGCATTACAGCGGGCGCTAATGATATTTGTACGGGGAACTTTCCACTTCCTTTGTACCGATATAGTCACAATAATATTACAATATCCCTGATAAAACAAACTGATCGACGCCTGTATTTGGTACGACCTATTTCATTGCACCAGGGAAAGTGAAATTGTTACAAAATGTAGAAACTTGTTTTCATAACTTTAAATCATTTGGTAGCACCAATAGGAAAGTCCTTTGCTATATTGCATTGTTCATAGTGATTGATCTGAATTATTTGTTTTCTAGCTGTCAGATAGAGTTTGGTGTTTGATGAGCATTATATATTATACTTTTTATTTGGGAACTTGTATACAGCTCATGTTATTTCCTATAAGACACAGTTTATATTTATTTTTATTATACATCACCGTAACGCCATAAGTTACAGCGTGCCATAATTTTGAAATGTTCTACCTCTTCATTCTTGTCTAGTTACCTAACCAGCATAGCTGTCATATATTAGGCATGGCTTGAACTTCAAATTTGAGAGGACACCTCTTTTCATGGCAAAAACTGATAGAGATAGTATGAAGGGATATCTGTGAAGTTCAAGCCATATCTAATTAGGTCACAAAATTAGTCTCCCCATTATTGTTATTTTAACAAAGTCATAATATATATTATTATACATCTGTCACCGTAACGCCATAAGTTACAGCATGGCGTATTTTGGTATTCCAAATATGAAATGATTACGCGCGTAAACTCCTCTAATATTAAAAACAAACATGGCTGCCACCAGAGTTTGACTGGCCTCCAAAC